ATCCCCAACGCCTGTTTTGGGCATTCTTAATAAGCCATTAAAGTAGATTGGTCTATCATTCTTACAAAGTAGTCACAAGATCTATCAAGTGCCCACCAAAATTTAGGCACAGTAGAAAGAACTAAGCCAGTCTTTCCCCTAGGATTACTATTAGACCACTAGGTGAGGAACACACAGTGAGAGAGTGCTAAAGTAGTTCCATAGACATCTGCATGGGATGCAGTACTGACTGTGGAGGAGGTGACCAGTTTGCCTGGGGCATGACTGAAAGAGTCAGAGTGCATATCACATAAGAGCTGGCAGCTGGGAGGGTGCAGGGAAAAGACGGGCATCCAGTAGACAGCATGAGCCAAGGCATGCAGGTGCAGAGACACTGGACAGCTGCCACTCTTCTGGTTTCAAATAAAAGGGCCAGGCAGTTGGAAGGCATCCTGAGAGATGGATCTGGTAAGACTCACATAGGACCTGGAATGACCTGCAGAGGAAATTGACTTTGTGTTGGGATAAAGTTAGAACTTGACCTTGTAGCCAGTGGTGCTAACTCAGCTTTTGGAAAAATAACAATGGGGTGCTGTATTCCCAAGTGAGATATCTGGTACTGTGACTGTAAGAAAGGACGCTCCATGTATGTTCCAAATGCACCATGGAAATCATCCGTGTATGACACTATGAGCACCTCTACTCAGATTGTCTCCCCAAGTCTCTTACGGAGGAAAAACATTCAAAGTACCTAAGCTGGGGAGATGGCTCAGAGGGCAAAGGTGTTTGCTGCCAAACTTGACAACATGAGCTTGATCCCCCCAGTACCCACATGGTAGAAAGAGAGCACTACCTCAAGCATGTCGTGGAATGCAAGTGCGCGCACACACACACACACACACTTTTTTTTTTTAAAGTACCTATTGCTCCTCCCCAGCCTCACATCCTAAGATTCTACCTTTGGCAATCCAAACATTTCTATTTATAGCTCACTCTTTGACCTGGTATTCTAAACAGCAACAAATCATCTTTAAGCATGTATCAGGAACAGAATCATGGACGAATGTTACGCATACGTGACATAATCGGTTTTCTTATTTCAGCAAGAGCACTTGATGGCAGTGGGCAGGATGGATTGGAGAAACCCATATGAACCTTGTAATAATCCATGCAAAACACTGGCAAGGCTCTAAGTCACCATGGTAATAGTGAGGAAGAAGAGAGGGCAGGGTTTCCTTCCCACTAGATTTGGGAGTAGAGTCATCTTTAGGGCTATAGGACTTCTGGCCTGAACCTGCCAGAAGAGGACACCTATTTCTGCCTGAGAGCCTTCTCTTAGGCTCTGGCTCCCGAGTGCCACTTCATCCCATCCTGTGGTATTTTGAACTATGCTGACTCTTTTGGTAGAGGAGGGGAAGAACAGGGTCTTATTTTGTAGCCCAGGCTAGCCTAGAATTCATGATCTTCTTGCCTCAGTCCGTCAAGTGCTGGAATTGTGTCACTGTGTGCTGTTCTATGCGGATTGACCTAATTTCTCAGATAATTCACATCTTAGGAAAAGAGGACTACCTTTTTAAAACTTTAACATTTTAGTGTACAAAATAATGAATTTTATTGTGATACTTTCATATATACATGTCACTGTAGTTTTCATGTATCCATCCCCACTCTCCCCTGTACCCACTGATGCCCTTCCTCCTCCCAAGCAGCCCCGTTCTGTTTTCATGTCATATGCAGACATACAGACAAACAGATATACAGATTGGTAATCATTGGATAGATACTGCATATGAAAGTCAAAAGGGCTGCTTTTGTAAGAGCATCCCTTCAGAGCCCCAAAGCTCTGTTGATCCAAGATGCCCATGGCAAATACAGTGGAGCTGGTCAGAGGCAGTGAGTGGATGGAGAGAATTCAGGAGAGACTGGGCTAGAAAGATAATGGGAGAGAAACCATGGGCTGGATGGGATGACCAGAAAGAGTGGGAAGAGCAGAGGTCCCCAACCCCGCTAGTGATTGAAGATGGCCAGACCCCAGCTCTGAAGATGGTATAGAGGAACTGGTGATGACAGGTACCTGTGTTTTCTAAAGAAACTTTGAGTGTGATCTTGACACTCATTGAGCAGGGCTGAGAATTCTTGTTGAAAGTGTGAAGTTGGAAGATGAAGCTCTCTCTTTCCTCTCCCCTCTGCCTTATTCCCTCCTCCTACCCCTCTCTCCTCTCTCTCTGTGTATGGGAAGAAGGTTATCAGGAGGGTTGCTTCAAAGGCATTTAAGTAGACCCATAACTGGTGATATTATCAAGGATGGGCTTCCTGGGTGATAAAAATGAAGACTTGAGTGATCACAATCATCTGTTAGAAAAGATAAACTCTTTTCAAGTTCTGAGATTGCGTTTAACAAACATGCATTGAAAGTGATTCAGTGTTTTAGGTGACTTAATGAATCTTAACGCTTTCTTCCTAACAAAAATAGTTAGGTCTTGTGTTTTTAATTAGCCCACATTTCTAATATTAATGGAAAGATAAAGGGCCTTGGGTTCAAGCAATAAAAATGGTCATTGGAAATTCGCTTAAGTCTATCTCTGGGCATGCTCTGAGGAAAAAAGAATGTTATCCTTTGATCCTTAGTGTAAATCCTTTTTAAATATAAAAATACAGTATATCCGTATCTCTTCTTCAAAGTGTTTGTGTAATCCTAAGAAGTTGCTTGAACCCTCTGTGTCTCACCCACATCCTCATCTGTAAAACCAGGACAGTAACCAGATGCATCTCATAATCCTTTCTGAGGATTAAGTGAGATAACATATGTAGAGCACTTAACATCATGGTCCAGGCATGTAACAAATACTCACTACATATCAGGTTAGAGGGTTTAGACTAATTACTAAAGGGCACTGATACAGGTAGACCCAGCTTGGCTCTCTGGGACCTTTCACAGGAGCAGAAGGACATGAGTTCACCTTAATGTATGTTCCTCAGGACTTGGAGATCTCGGGACTGAGTTGAGAAACCACTTTCGTGATGAATCCCACTTTTTGGCTACTTGAAATACTAGCATCAGTAACTGCTTTGGACAATTGCCTCCCCAAGAGTTTGCTTGGGGTATGATTGGGCCTGCCTGAGTGGACACAGCACAACCTGCTCAGTTTCGTGAGGTGAGACCCTGCAATACAGGCTGATTTGAGTGCCCACAAATTCATGTTAAAGTTTTGGCTCCTGATGAGACTACATTTGAAGATGGCGACTTCAAGGTAGTAATTAAGGTTAGATGAAAAAATAATGGTGGAACCTTGATTTGATAGGACAGGCATTTTTGTTACAAGAGACATCAGAGTTTACATGATCTCTTTCCACCCAACCCTCCCCTCTGCCTCCTTCCCTCCTTCCTTCTCTCTCCACAGCCACTGGGAAAAGGCCACATTCAGACCAATGAGAAGCCAGGAAGAGAGCCCACACCAGGAACAAACACAGTTGGCAGCTTGATTTTGGACTAGACCTGTGAGAAAGCAGGCTTCTGTGGCATAAGCTGTTTGGTCTGCAGCATTCTGGCATTCCATTGCGGTCTCCCAAAGACTGGTGTATTGAAGGCTTGGTCCTGATGTAGCATATTCAGAGGTGGGGCCTTGAGAGATGATTGGATCATGAAGGTGCTAACCTCATCTTAATCCGTTGATGAGTTCATAGCTGAATGGGCTCTTAGAATGTGGGGCCTAGTTGGAAGAAGGAGGTCACTGGTGGGGAGATCCTTAAAGGGCACTTTGGAACCCTGGTCCCCTCCTCTCTTTCTCTGTGCTTCCTGGTTGCCATGAAGTGAGCAGCTTCCTCTGCTGTGAGCTTCTGCTGCCAGTTCCACCTTAACTCCAGCCCCAGGCAAGAGAGGCAACTGATCTTTAACTAAAACCACTGATAATGTGAGCTAAAATAAAATTCCTTGATTTAAGTTATTTTTCTCAACTATTTTTTGACAGCAATAGAACACTATCTAACACATAGTCCAAGCCACCTAATATACCTCTAAGTTCTGGTATCCAACACTGGTAGGCAATGATAGCTCTTCTGGTTCACAATTATTCAGCTCAATAAACAAGTATCTACTTTGTGATGGAAAAAGTACGAAGTATTGAGAACATTAAGGTAAGTAAATTTCTTGTCCCTTAAGTACCTGTATTTGGGACTGGCGAGATGGCTCAGTAGATAAGAGCACTGGCTGTTTTTGCAGAAGACCAGGGTTCAGTTCCCAGCACCCACATGGCAGCTAACAGCTACCCATAACTCTAGTTCCAGGGGATTCAATACCCTCTTCTGGCATCCAGAGGCATTGTATGTACAAGTTACACTTACATGCATGCAGGCAAAACACTCATATCCATAAAAAAATAAATAAATAAAAACATGTAAAAATTAAAAGCCTGCATTTAGTGGAAGGAGAGATATGCAATGTGTCAAAGTTTAAATGGCAAGTGCTATGACAGATGGTGTGCACACAATGCCATGGGAGTGGAGGTGAGTGGGGCCCTTCCGGTGACCTCAATTATTACAAAGATGGTAATGTCACTCATCCAAACTAGGACTCCATGAAGAGGCGGAAGAGAAGTTTATGGGGGAATGGAATGGGTTCAAGCTTTGTTGTGTTGTTCAGAGTACTTGTCTAGCATACAAGTGAGTCTCAAACTAAGGAGTCAGGTCAAGGTTAGAGACCCATATTTGGAGGACATTAATGCACAGGTGGTAGTTGATGGGCATGGATACATGGAAACATGCATAGAGTTGAGAAGCATCATGCCTGAAAACATGCATAGAGTTGAGAAGCATCATGGAATGCTAACCCTGGAAAAGAAAGAAAGGTAGACGAAGAGGGTGTAGAAGAGGAAGCAGAGGGTAGAGAGGTAGAAGTGCAGAAAAGAGAGGGTGAACAAGGTCAGAAAGACCAGGACAGGGTTACCAAGAAAGTCTCAATCTTTTTCAAAACAATAGTTTAATGACAGTTAACTTACTACTATCCCATAAAAGGAATGCTCTAATTTCAAAAGTAATTTTGCACAGTGTCTTACATGTGTTAACAGATTGAGAAAATAACTTAGAACACTTGGCAACTAAAACTACCAAGCACAATGTAACTTCCAGACAGTTCGAAAGGCACTTGGTGATTTTTTTTCAGTGCCTCGGGGCATCATGAACTCTAATTATTGCTGCCCCGGTCAACCGTGGGAGTGCTGATGAATGGAGAGTTAATTGACCATTGGATAAAGCAGCCTTTCATTCAAAATGGGACAGCTCACTAGCAGTGACAGAGAAGGAGCACTTGGTTCCCAGCTTAAGCTAAGCGGCCAGGGGACACATCCAGAGACCTGAACTCGCCTCCATCAGAAAAACCAAAGACCTTTCATCCTTCAGCCTCTCTCCTCTCCCACCTAGTGGGAAGTTCAAAGAGAAAACTGACCCCTACTCAGTATCTAATATGCTAGAACTGATGGTGATGCATATGTTTCAAGGATTCTTGATAGCCATCCAAAGGCTTGGATCTAAGTTCAGCAATGTTCTGGCTTTTGGGCCAAATTGATTAGTCATGTGTCCTTTCTAGGCTCTGATAAGAAGGTTGCTCCCTGATTGTGACTAGAAAACTATCAGTTCTGGTACCATCAAAATTAAAGAGAATAAGTAAACTTGAGTAGAGATGTCAGGGGATTATTGTCCCTAGACTTCCGATACCCGTACGGCCATGACCCCCTGATGGACTAGGAAGGGGTAAGAACTGTTTGTTCGTTGATGGTTACAAGAAGTCAGCATGGGAACCACTCATTCCCTTCCCATTCCTGTGGAGTGGGACGGCTAGATTTGGAAAGGCATTTGTTGAAAAATGTACAACTCCTGATGAGAAGGGACTAGGAAAGCACACCGGAGAAGGAAAAGGGCTGACTAGCTGCTCGCTGACCCTTAGGCTGTCTATGTGGTAGTAGGTAGTTAGGATATTGTTCTCATCAAAACCATATGTGGCTGGAGCTATTCATCATCATCGTCATCATCATCATCACTGTCATCGTTATCCTCTTCATCAGAGTTATCATCATCGTCGTCATTGTCATTATCGCCATCATCATCTTCATCTTCATTGTCATCATCTTCAGTGTTGATCTTTCCAGAAAGCACATCCTCAATCCAGTCTTCTAGCTCCTCAGCTGTGGGGAGGTCATCATCATCCGGGATCTCCATCCAGACACTGTCAGCCTGCAGTGAGGAACAGAATGAACCAGTGAGTCAGTGCATCAAGGTTGAGCCAGACTGGGTGGTTCTGAGTAGCTGTGCTGAGTGGGCTTCCTGGTCTCTCACACCCACCAAGAATGAATGCTGATCACTAAATGGAAATGTCAACCTGCAGAATGGCATACACAATCTCCTGTTTCTATAACAGAAAAGGAAATGTGCATTCTATTGTGCAACAGAATATATATGTATAAATATATTCATATATGTGAAATTTATGGTAAGATATTCATATAACTGTTCCTTAGGAACTGGAACTAAGGATGGACTCATAGCAGTGGGAAAACTTTATCCTTTTCATATCCTATTATGCTATTTTTTAAAAGGTTTAACTTTAGCAGACTTTTAAAATTATTATTAAACATTATTGTAAAGGGACCAATGAGATGGCTCATCAGGTGGGGCCGAGCCTGACAATTTAAGATCAATCTCAAGGACCCACATGATAGAAGGAGAGAACTGACTCCCTCAAGTTGTCCTCTGACAACTTGACACACATGTGCATGTGAAGACACACACATACACACATATACAATAGATAAATAAATAAGTGTCATAATTAACTTCAGCCTTCAGCTGTCAGCCTGACACAAACCTAGTCCTCTGGAAAGAGGGAACCTCAACCAAAGAATTTCCTAATCAGATTGGTCTGAGGCCATGTCTATGAGGCATTTTCTAATCTGGTAATTGATATAGGAAGGCTCAGCCCACTGTGGGTTGTGCCAACCCTAGACAGGTGGGCCTGGGCTATGTAAAAAACTTAGCCGAGCAAGCCAGAGGGAGCAAGTCAGTAAGTAGCATTTTTCCATATTCTCTGCTTCAGTTCCTGCCTCCAGGTTCCTGCCTCAGGTTCCTGCTTTGGCTTCCCTTGATGATGATCTATAACCTATAAGCCAAGTAAACCCTTTCCTCCTCAAGTTGCTTTTTGATGTGATATTTTATCACAGCAACAGAAAAAAAAAACAAACCTAGAACAATATATAACACAAAAAGCTGTGCATGGTGACACATGCCTTTAATCCCAGCACTCAGGAGGCAAAAGCAGGTAGATTTCTGTAAGTTCAAGGTCAGCCTGGTCTACATAGTGAGTTCCAGACCAGCTGGGGCTATAAGGGAGACCCTGTCTCAAAAAAACCAAAATAATAATAATAATAATAATAATAATAATTTTAAAAGTACTTCTCAAAGTAAATGAATGTATGGAATTATAGAACATTTAGCAAAGGGCAAAGAGACATTGATAATTGGCCCCTTTTTATAAGAGATTCTGTCTGGAGTAATGGCTGCAATGGGCCCTCCATTATAGCTCCTTCTGCTCACTGTTCACCTGGTTGTATCTGCCCCTACTTTTGTCCTGGTATAGTGAACTTTGCATCATATGTCTGGACTGAGTCAGAATTTCTTCACACTGTCAATTCACCTCAGTCTCTGCCCTCAGCTCATCACTGCCTGAACTGTTCTGAGGATCCCGTTCTGTCGTCAGGGTCTCCTGACTTGTAAGATGAGTGGTGGCTAGCATGGGCCTCTGGCCCTCTCCATCTCCATTGTGCAATGACAGCTCCAGGCGTGAGTTCCCTTATGTAAGGAAACCTTGTTTTGTGCCTTTGGGAGTGGGTACAAGAGTATTTTCTTGAGTAGAAAGTTCCAGGTTAATGAGTCAGATCAGGCTGGCTCCATAAACAAGGAAATGCACTAACGGAGAAAGCTATGGGACCACAGGTTGGAACTGGCTCAGAGACCAGCTTTGGGCCACATAGGCAAGCTTCCTGAGTTTGGAAAAAGACTAGGAGTTCAGCTTGCTGCTGTGGACTCCAATGTGATCTTGTAGTTGCAGTTGCATAGCAGCTGAGAGCAGTTACAGGGCAGCTGAAAGCACCCGAGCAAGGCTTCTTGGAGATACTCACATCTGTTACATTCACCACTCCAATCTGAGGCTTGAACAGGTCAATCTTGAAAGTCTTCTCCCAGTAAGCAACAAGCTGCAGTAATGAAAAGATCAGGTTAGACAGAGGGCAGAGGGCTTTCCCTGGAAAAGTCACTGAATTTACCTGCCATCCTACCACAGCAACTAGATTGTGATTGGTTGAATACCTTTAAAATGGCTGTGGGCACTTAGGGAATTGAAGACTTAACCCCAACCCTAAATCACTTTAGCATTAAATAAAAGATATAGCACTAGCGATGACAACATGTAACATAAATGCTTCCACAACTCTAAGAAGACTATCACAGAGATGGCTCAAGGTTAATTCCCAGATTGTGACTCTTTTATAGTTTCTAAGTAATGAAAGGGCCATTTTTCTCCACCTGTCTTTCAATGTCTAAAAACGCCTTATCTTGTGCCGTTCTGCCACATGAGATGGCTGGGAGAGCAGTGGTAGGCTGTAACTTGGCATAAAGTATAAACACAAGGTAGGTTTCTTCATTTAGCCCCGCATAGGTTCCATGAAAACAAATCTTCGGCTGGGGAGGACTAATGGGCTGAAAGACCATGTGGCTAAGAGAATGGAGATGCTCAGGGACAGACAGTCTCCCAAGTAAATAACAGGGCCTGATAGGGACTGGGATGTTCAAGAATCTGGAAATTGGAATTGTCTAAAATTTACTTTGCAAAACATCAAGGCAGATATAGAATTGGCCAAAAGAATTACAGACCATTTGCAAGTTTATATAATAAAATAGTATAGGTAAACTAGTAATATGCCCAGCAGACTCTGCTAGATCAACAAAGCTGTCCTATATGCCTACATGGTCAGGACTTTCTTTCAATTACCCAGAATTATGCCATTGACCTCAAATATCATGGAAGTCTCTGCCTTTGATTCTTTTTCTTTTTGTCTTTTTGAGACAGGGACCCCCTGTAGCCTAAGCGGGCCTGGAACTCAGGCTGGCCTTGAACTTACAGAGATTCACCTGCCTCTGCCTCCCAAGTGCTGGGACTAAAGGCGTGTGCCACCATGCCCAGCTCACCTTTTCTTTTTGTAGGATTTGGTGTCAATTTTTTGTTCAATCATTGTTTCAACCAGTCATGACCAGTGCAACTAATACTTCCTAGAAGACACAGCTGCATTTACAGTCAGAGAGTAACCAAACTAGTACTAATTGTAGGCAGTTAGCCCTACCAGAAGCAATATACCAGACTTTGACACCACAACAGATCTGGGTTGGATTACCACATCTACTAGCTTTAACCTCCCCAAGAGTTACCCTTCCTCGTTGGGACAGGAATTATAATAGTACCTGCTTTAAGAGCTGTTGAGGGTATTAGCTACGAGGATCTTGAAAATAACCTATTGCTATTCAGTCTCCAAGGCATCTGCAGAGACCCAGGTTCTGCCCCATGTAGTATGGGAAATTCTGGCCCTTGGTGTAGCATTGAACTTGGCCAGTAGAGAATGTTAGTTACAACAGATAACATAGCTTCCACCAGGGTTCATGTATTATATGAATTCTGAATTCTGTTCAAAACTAAGAGAGATCAAAGTGTCCTTGCTGTTGTCCCTAGACACTGACTAGCACTGGGATGATGAAGTTCTTGTGCTTTCCATATGTGTTAGATACCATGCCAAGTTCTAGGGAGCTCATGACAAACAAATCAGGCATCTTCTCTACCCCCAGAGAGCTTGCTCCGTCTCTCCACTCAGTTCTTAATTCTGCAAAGTATTCACCTTTGGCTTCCATTCCCTAGTAATTCAACTTGCCTCTGGAGTGTCAGTGTAATGGTGACATGAGGGGTCTGGATTGCTGTTGGCAGGCAGAAAGCACCCAGCTTGCCTCGGAGCACTCCTCCAAGAGTTTCTAACTCTTGAGCTCTGGGAAGCGACTGATCATTTCAGTGAATGTGCAACCAAGTTCAATGCCACATTAAGACCCTGGATTCCCCAATTAATGTCCAGTGACCTCTGGGTTTCTTCAAGCCCTTCAGCTGTTTTGGCTCATCCTTCACACTCGAGGGCTTTGTGCTAAACACAAACAAAGGGCTGTGAAGGCCAACAGGGATGAGGCCTTGGCCTGAGCCACTCACCAGAGGAAAGTCATCTGGGTCAATCCACAAGATGCTCAGGTCAGGGTTGTCGGTGTTGTCCCTGGCAACCTGTTTCAGGATCTCCAGGAACTCATAACCATCTGAATAGGAGTCAAGAAGGTTGAGTCACCCCTACACGTATGCAGCTTCTCACGTGGAGAACGAGAGCGTGGTTTTTCCACAAAGCTTTCTTGGCCATCTGGTGCATACCCTCAATTATAGAGCTAGTCTATAAAATGAGTCAGATGACAGAGCCACTAACACAAAGGAGCTTATACAGAGAAAACAATAGCAATTTTGAACAAAGAAATGAGAAGGTTATGGGGAAGTGGCTTATTTCTAACTGAAGGCTCAGCTCCATTTGTTCATGAGCAGGTGAAAACCAAGTGGACCTGGTAAGAAAGGTCAGTCCTAGAACAGAGGACCCCCTCTGCCTGTCCCCAGTGGTCCTGTACATTCCAAGCATGTGCCCTCCCTGAATTCCCCTACAACATCTGCTCTAGGAACCAACTGCAACCTGGAGTTCCCAACACCTTCAAAGTAAGTCAGTGGCCCCCTGTTCCACACCATAGTTGTTAATTCCTGGTTCCAATCTCAAACCAGCTCCACATGCACCCTGCCTTCTCTGTACACTGTCAGCAGCAGTCTCTGCCCCTGGGGAGGGATGATTCATAGGAAAAGCAGAGACAAGCCTTCTGCATTTCAAGCCTAAGCTTTGCAGCATACAATTTTTGCCATAAGCAAAAAGTTTGAAAGAACATTCAGTAAGAGATTCTGTAAACCCTTGGCACTGCCTCTCCAGCCCTGCACTCAGGCAGGAAAGCCCACAGCCTGTGCTTCTTAGACTATGGGGAGAGATACGAGGAGGGCAAATTGGATGATGTCCTGCAGGTGGGAGGAGAGGGCCATCGGTGACCCACTCAGAACAAGGACCACGGGGAGGATGCAACAACAGCCTTTTCAACAGATGCCAGCATGCAAAGATGATGATGATTCCACCCAGCCCATGTCTTGGTGCCAGGATGGCTGGGTCAGGCTAGAAGACCAGTTATCAAACCAGCTTCCATCATTCAGTGGTTTACAGCTCAAAACAGAAATGTAGGTTTAGTTCTAAACAATAAGGCTACATGTCTTGGATAGCTGAATTTGTGGTCTGAGATTTACAACCTCTGTGTAGGATGGGCTTTAGAGTTCATATATCTGCTGTTTTAGGGATGGGAGAGGGAAGAGAGAATTCTGCACCTGCTGCCTGTAAGTATAACCGAGACAATGAAGTGTAACGCCCGCCCCAGACCCTCATTACTGCTCTCTGGGCACACCATGGCTCATCCTCTGGGCTTATGGTCATGTCCCAGGAGAAGGAAATACAGAAATCCACAGAGTTACCTGTGGATTTATGGATCATAATGCATAGACCGAAAGAGGGAACTCCTCCCCCAAAACACCGGCTGTCAGTCCCTCGTGCATCAGAGCAGACAGGAATAATAATGGAGGTGATGTGGCCAGTCCTCTGGTTTCAGAGACGGTGAAGTTCAACAATGCAGACCAAGTTCAAGTAAGTTTGAGGTGCAACTTCAGTCTGACCACCCTGAATGGACAACAGTGAGTCCCCAAGCCAGGGCTGCAGCGGGCCAGCCTGTGACCAGACCTGTAAGCTGAGCATGCTGTGCAGCGCTGCTGTGTTCTGATGGAAAAGCTCGCATACTATTGGGATTTCCATGTGGGATTTCTCAAAACTGAATGTTAGATACAAGAACAAATATTCACCCTTCCAGTTTTCATCCTAGAGCAGGAGCTGAGACAAAAAGAAAAGGGTAGAAGGAATAAAATTTGGGTTCTACAAGAAAAAAAAAATAGACTAAAGTCTTTGTGCAAACAAAAAATTTCAAAGGTGACTCAATTCCTATTTTTAAGATTATGAAAGGGTATGTTTGTATGTATGTAGAGAGTATTCTTCATGTCTAGAGAGGAACAAGGAAAGCTCAAAATGTATTCCCAGGAAAAAATGAGTAACATTGATATTAAAGACAGAGTAGTTGGCTCAAGTTCCAAGGACAGCCTGGTGATATCAAGGGTGAGGAACTCCATAATGGGCATCTGTGTGCAGCCCAGGTGGTTTCATTATCAGAGTGGAGAACTTAATTCAGAGAGACAGCCCAGTGTAACACTTAAACGCTAGTATCCAAGTGACATTAGTCGAGATCACTTATAGTATTACTTAAGTCAAGTTGTTTAAATGTCCCATTTCCTCGTGAGTAAAATGGATTGGTGATAATAATAGCTGTTTTAAAGTTGCTTTTCTTTCTTTCTTTCTTTCTTTCTTTCTTTCTTTCTTTCTTTCTTTCTCTTCCTTCCTTCCTTCCTTCCTTCTTCCTTCCTTCCTTCCTTCCTTTTGTGTGTGTGTGTGTGTGTGTGTGTGTGTGTGTATGTGTGTAGGTCAGAGGACTGCTTGCTGGAGTCAGTTATCTCCTTCCATCACATGGGTCCTAAGGCTCTAACTCAGATTATCAGGCTTGGTGGCAAGTGCCTTTACCCACTGAGCCATCTTGCTAACCCCCAATAATAGCTATTTCATAGGATGGCTTTCCATTAATGAGTATCTCTGACATTCTCTGTGTCTGGCACATAGAAAGGCTCAGCCAGGATTCTTCCTCCATGATCTGACAGTCCTAAAACATGAGGAAGCTGAAGAAGCCTCTAAGCATTTATCTGTTCATTCAATACATGTACATCTGTGTGCCGACCTGGGTTCCAAGATAAGGTTATATGCTGGCTTGGATGCTCATAAAAAGTTACCCAAGACAGTAGTACAGGGGGTGATGTTGTCTGGCTCTTGCTGCTTGCCCTCTGACAGAAGGCTCCAAGACCAGCTGTGCCAGATGCTGAAGTTATGAGCTGGGTCCAAGCCAGGCTTAATTCCATTGCTCGTAAAGCATTAGCCCACATGGGCATGCCTGATTCAGGGTTTTTCAGTGCCCAGCCTTGAGCAGACCTGTTTTAATGGCTCCTCATCCATCTGGGAAGTTAAGGTAGCTAAGCCATTGTCACACGACCTCAGTGAGAAACACGAACATCGTAAGTTGTAAGCTACATTTTCTCGTGCAGAAAGCTTGCAATGCTTTGTAAAACAGCAGGTGCCTTAGAAAAGGAAAATAGTTACCATCAATCGGTCTCCCTGTTTGACAAGGAAGCAGGAGTGGGAGGCCTGCTTCACTTTGGGATGCCATGGTAAGCTCACAGCTAGGACACACCTGGACTCTCAATCATGTTTCCTTTATCAACAATGGACCTAGCTCAGAGACATTTTTAGATTGTGACCTTCCAGCTTTCAGAAGGAATAACCCGTAATCTGACATAGACAGACTAAAAGGGGGGCAAGTACTATCCAGACACTTGGAGGCTTAAAGCTGTTTAGGCATAACAGCTAGAGAATTATTCTCTGAAGCCATCAGGGACTCAGCCAAGAGAGTCCCAAGACCAGAAGAGATTCTCCAGTGTTCCCGGTAGCCAGCTTGCTGAAGAGGCCCCACTTGAAACACCTGTCTGTCTTTCTCTTATGTTTTCAGGGTAGATCCCTTTGAGTCTTCTAAAGGCTGAGTCCACGGCTGTTAATCCCAACAGCCAAGAATCTTTTCTTTGTATCCAGTGGAAATCGCCCTTTCTACACCAAACTCTTCCTTTACAGACACGGGGCATTTTTGCTCTTTATATGCGAAAAGTCTGTCATCCCGCCACCTCAGCTTTCCTCTCATGAGCATTTCTTGAGGACTTACTGGGCACTAAAGATTTTTGCATTTAATCTTTGCATTTGGTCTAGATGGAAGGTTTTATTGCCTTTATTTTACAGAGGGTTTGAAGGAGGTAACTTTCCCCTGTCATCAATGAGTAGGCAGCACAGCCAGTAGCCTAACTCAGGCCTTCAGTCTGCACAGCTAGAGCCATTTACCATCCATCTTTCCTCTGAGGTCCCAGAATTCCTACCCAGGTTGCTGCTGCCATCTTCTGCCTTCATGCCTCTGCCTGAGCACCTCAAGCCTTCTGTGAAACTTTATCCTGAAGAGGCACTGGCTAGGTCAGGGAAGAGACAGTCCATGGTGTGGCCCTGATGCTGGTGGGCTGCTTCTGCCATTCTCACAGAGCAAAGTCCCTGTCCTACTTCACAGTCCCAGTGGGAGAGAAGGTCAACTCAGTGATGCTCTGAGTGAACCTGGACTCTCCAAGATCGGTCTAAATAAAGAAGAAGGCTGTGAGAATTGCCATTCCTTCCCAGCCACTCAGACTGCAGGTCTAGAAGTCCAGGACCCAGCGTTGAGGGATGCATGTTGAGCCAGGTTTCCCACGACAAGCAAGTGGCCTCTGGGAATCACATCTTTGTGGGAAGAGAACCTGGTGATTATCCTTTCCTGCTCCCCTGGCAGAGATTGATAGGAATAAGCATACACCAGGCCCTGGGGGACCAGGCCTAGGCCACACACAACCAAGACCCAATTTTCAGAAGCACTTGTATCTGAGACCAGCCTGGCTGAGGAGTACACAGGTCTAACATAACACCCACCCCGAACTTGCCTCCCAGACTCCTCCTGGGCTACTGACTGTGCTCAGTCCATGGAGGCTGAAGAAATCCATGCCATGGGCAGCTATGGACCTCAGAGTCTCTGCCTCTGGTCCTACAATGGGATCTTCCCATCATCCAGGTAGCAGGTGGACAGCTAGGCAGGCTGGAGGCCAACGTCATGTAGCTTGGAGGTTGTATCTGGAAAGGATACTAGGCTGTGAATTTGGAGACCTTTTGTAGCTTCCTTAATGGGACCTCTATTTCTTCCTCTGAAAATGGAGAAAACAGTTGCCTCGATACATGACAGGCTTGTTGACAATAAAAGACACTATTACTGTCATAGAAAAATGGTGTGACACATGCAGAAAGCTCTTGGGCTTTTCCTTTTCATCCTTTTCCTTCCATTGATGGGAAGGATGTGCCCTTTTCTTCAGGTGGGTCTGTTTTAAGTGTCCAGGTTCTTTAGACCCAGAGCCAAGTACTGACACACAAAGGTAAATAAGGCAGATGAGGCCCTGGGGTCCTCCCTCAGAAAAGCCCAGTGGTCCCCAGGCCAGAGCCCACTCAGTTGTGTGAAACTCTCCAAAAGCAGAATCCTCTGTCCCTGGGCTTTGTGGGGAGACTCAGAGGAACCCAAAAGTCTGGGAATTCCCCTGACAAGAAACACCCATTATAGTGAGATAGCCTGTTGGAGTAGGAGACCCCATGGGGTCCTTTGGTTTTGAGATGGCACCTGAGACACAGGCAGGTCCTGCCATTTCTTACCCAGCCTTCTTTTTCTGCTCTGTCTTCTGCTCTTTGCATTCCAGAATTGGTGAGGGAAAGTCAAATAATACCTCTTCACAATGTCAAGAAACATGGCGGGAGGGGTGGTGCAGTTATTAGGGCTGGAATCTTGGCTTGACACCCCAGTTCTATCACTTACTATTCGTGTAAGTTGGGGGTGCTATTTGACTTCACTATACATTGGGGGAATATGACATAACTGTCCTTACCTGCAGAGTTGGTATGAAGATTATTTGCTAGGTATATGGAATAATATTCAGCATCTAGCAAAGGCTCAAAGAAACAGTGAGAGTTCCTATTTGAGACAATTGGTTTCAAATCCATTTTTACAAGAACCTGGGGCAGGGAAAGCTCAGATGCAATGGGGTTTTGGAGCATTCCTTCCAGGGCCCATCACTAAATTAGTTCACTGCTCGCAGACAGCAGCCCATCCTTGCATTTCCAGCTTGTTAGTGTGAATATTCCCAGTGCCCTTGGAGGATTTCCATCCAGTGAGCGTTCATGTAGAAACGCTGCTTGGCAAACCTTTCATCAAGTATTACAAAGAAGATGTCAGCCTGATGCAGACATATCTGGGGACAGCAAGGAAGAGTTGTTCATTTTCAAACCTGTCAAACCAGCAGGTATGGCTAGTTCTCTGAGTGCAGAAGGCTCAGTCAGAGAAAGTGCGGGCAGAGGAGGGTGGGTGGCAGTAGGTAGCAGGCAGGTGCAAGGGGTCCCGGAATGTACTAACGTCCTTTCCAGCCAGGTCTAAGGGATAAAAACTCACAGCAAGAGAATCCTACAGGTGATGGTGTAGGACTAGGGGAGCAGTCACTGCTTCCTCCCATGGAGAGTCTCCAATCATCAACCTTCTGGAAGTGGCAAGCTGCCTGGGAAGGTGGGAATTTCCAGGAGAGAGTTCACTGACATATGTGTGCTGTTGCTCTCTATACGCTCACATTCCACAAGTAGGAACATCAGTGGGTGCTGGGAGGACATCAGACTTGTCTTCATTGATTGGATGCTCAAGCTGTCAGGTGGCTCTGCTGGCTTCTCATATCCTTTGCTTCCTCTTCTGATCTGCCAACTCTTGCCTCTTCCCCGTGCCCCTGCAGCAGCACTGGGCTTGCTTGGAGCTTGCTGCCAGCCTGCTCTTTTGTCTTTTGTACAGTGGTATCCTAGGGAGGACCGCACCCAGCAGGAGCCCTCAGCAAAGCAAGCTCAATGCCTCTGAACTTGTCTGTGTCTATTTTCTTGTGGTTCAAAACTTGGAGGGAGAAGAGTGGAAAGAGGCTGGAGAGGAGGAGGGAGATGCACCGACCAATCACCCGGATGGTAGATGTCTCTGAGAGGCATACAAGTCTGCCTGCCTTGTGGTTAAGGGTGTGGAATGGGAAGCCAGACTGCCCTGGCTTCATTGCTTTGCTCCCCAGTCAGTGGTCCTTCCTCAGCCTCGGTTTCCTCAACTAAAATGAGAATCAAAATAGAACCTCCCTCACGGGACTGTTGTGACAGTGATGGTTGCCACCTCCTTTGTCATAATCACGATGTATTTTGAGGTCAGGAAGATGTGCTGCAATGTTGACCTTGGCTTAGAGACTGTGGGCAACAGGGTCAAGTTAGTTAACCTCTACAACTCACTTTCCTCATCTAACACCTGAATAATCAATAATAATTACATGCCTATCACAGAGTGGCCTCAGATTGATGCAACTGTCTCTACAAGCTCTTCAGTATTGCCAGCTTTAAGAAGAGCTGTCTGATGAAGATGATAATCTTCCTCCTTCTGCAGATGGGTGCAGTCTGATTAGGCCATAACATCACAAGAGCAAAGGAATCCCAGGAACTTCCTGTGAGGAATGCACTCCCCAGTGTCCCTGCCAGGCTTCTGCCCCAGATTTATATAAATCACTGACTGACCACCAAGTCCAGGTGAGGGACTTTCACCAAAATCCCTGAACAGAAAAGGTACTCCGGTAGCTAAAAGACCTCATTTCCATACCCACCCCCCTTCAGGCACCCCTGGACTTCTCATTGACAAGCCCCAGCTTGGGCTCTGGGGAAAAAGGCTGAGCTTGGGGCCCAGGGATATTTGCATAGGGAGGAGGTGGAAGTAGTTTCAGAAGCTCGATTCATTAGGGCAGCAATCTCGGTCAAACAGGTTTCTGTAGTTCAGGGAGGCCTCTTTGTTCTATTGTTCAAGGGAGCCAGACAGGCCTCCCTGCAACCCTGGAAGCCAGGCAGCAGGGTGGGAAGGAAGCCCCCTGGAGTCCGGCCAGCAGGCCGCTGCCAGAAGCCACCCCATCTCTGTTCACACACCAGGGATCCCATTCTGTCTGATGAGAGCCTGTAAACCACAGGTAACTGGCTTCTTTGGAATTTTCTCATTCAGGAGCCCAGAGTAGCCAGAATCTGTGAAAAGAAACTGATGCTACACTGTTATTTTTTATTTTTATTTTTTGGACAAGCCCAGATCTCCTTGAAGAGGCTTTCCAGCTCTGCAAGTCTATGCTAGGAAATCTGGCAAAGGAACAGAAATTCAAAAGATTTAATGAAAAAAATCAGAGAAACTCTCAGATGATTTGGTTTTGATGCAGGAGAATATTACTTGGACCTAAAAAATAATGAAGATATTACATAGATACTATCATGAAGATACTATAATGAATAGATACTATAAATACGAAGCTATGATACAGATGCTACCTAATAGATAGACACTTTGAAAGCATCATGATAATGAAAAGATGCCAGATACAAATGATTCCTTTTATAGGAAATGTCCAGAATAGAGAGATGATAAGACATTGGTGGTTGTCATCACTGGAGGACAGAGAATGAGAGTGATCCTATTGTGGATGAAAATGTTCTGGAATTAGATGGTGCTGACATCCACATGGCTCTGTGCACATGCAAAACCTCACTCAAGGCACTGCAAGAATCTGGCAGATACTGACGGATAAAATAATCCATCCACTCTACACAGTGCCACTGTGTTCTCTTAGACACAGTTAAATTCCGAATCTGTTTCTGAATATCAAATTAAAATATTCTTTTAAAGACGGGGTTTCATGTAGCCCAACCTGGCCTTGAATTTAATGGATGTTATCTGAGGTTGACCTTGAACTTCAGGCATGCACTACCACAGTATTTTGTAGTGTGGGTGATTGAACCCAGGGCTTCATGCATGCTAGGCAAGCACTTTACCAGCTGAGCCATATCCCTAGCCCTAATCCTAACCTCTACTGAAGCTCTTCTCTAGATATCTCCCTATGGTAGAGGCTGAGGATTCCTGATAAATTCCATATACACGCAGGGTTCCCAAGCCTGATGGTCCACCATGACTTGCCTTGGAGCTTCATAAAATCACAGGCTACTGAAGATGTTGTCTGAGTCAGCCCATGGTGGCTTTGGCTCTTGCAGTCTTGGGCTCTGTTGGGCTTTGGAATTCCTGTCCAATTCTTCATGCCCAAAGCCTGGCTGCTGTGCATCCCAAATGAAGTTCCATTCTGGATGGTTCTAGGCCTCCCCACCCTCCCTCCCTCTCTGCACTTTCACCTTCCCTCTGAAGCCTCTCTGTCTGGTGGATCACTGTCACAAGGACCCAGCATGTCATCCCCTGTAACACTCATTTTCTCACACTGCTCTCTCCACCAGCCTTGATAAGAGGGATACCAGGGAAAGTTGTTCATATTGTAAAAATAAAACTAAGTGACTCATTCACTGGTAGAGTCATTTTGCACTTTTTGAACTAGGCTGTTGCTTTGCCCTGTTCTCACTGTTTCGGGTGATATTCTCTATTCTGTTTCCTTTGCACAGATAATATTTCACAGATGAAAGGATACATCTGTTATTCCGTTAATGTAGGATTGTGATTTATGTAGGTTTGATCACTAAATTGGTAAATAAAAATTGAATGTGAGCAGGAACACACAAACACACACAGACACACAGACACCCCACAGACAGACACACACTGTAAGGCTAGGATGCTTTGTGTCCTCCCCCCACCCGCCCCCAGCAGCCTTTGTTCATTCTCAGTTTGATCAGCTGAGCAAACTAATCTCATATCACCCAAGTTGGCCGTGAACTGTTGATCCTCCTGCCTTCTCCCAAAAGCTGGGGTTACATGTTCAGGATTGTGGCTTTGTTTGATATTCTGATCTGTTCCCTTAGCTCTATTTACAACCGAAGACAGATTCATACCTACCAGGTGACCACCAGAGGGGGCCCAATATCTTGCAGTTGCATTGGAACTGTAAAAGCCCAGGAAGGTGAGAAGCCAGTTCATGTTAATGGCTAAGCAGATTGGGGTGGGGGGTGTCCTACCTGGATCACTCTTCTCTGCAAAGGCCACAATATGGATCCCATTCAAATCATCTTCCTGGAAGAGAAAAGAATCAAATGTTCTGGTCAGGAGGAAAAATGCAAATGAGCAAGTCAGGACAGTGACATGGAGGCTAGAATGAAAAGGGGGTTGGGGGGACAGAGACTAGACACCTAAGCACAGAGTAGCAGGACAGGCACGCTAAGGAAGAGAATGTTGACGGTGGCCGGCAGCAACACATGGAGCTTTGATAAGGGACTTAGATCAATGGGTTTTGCAAGTCAGGACAACAGACATGAATCAGCAGTAAAGGAATCTCACTCCTGTGGTCTGGAGGGTCCCAGGAGCAGCAGCAAAACAAAATGAGAAAGAACATGAGTTTGGCTTACAAGGCTCCAGAGGCAACAAAACTCTAGAGAGAGCTCTGTGAGCATGACTGTTTCAAGAATTCCCCACCAGGAGACATAATCAGGGATGTACAAGATTACAGAGACTCCTGGATGTTGCTGGCAAATCCTGAAACTCTCCCCTGGGGCAGCAAAGAATCCTCAGCTTAACAAAGATGAAGGTTTTTCTTGTCCAAATAGGAATCAAGAACACCTTAGGATTTGACCAGCTCCTCTGGGTGGGGAAGCAGAGTCATGGAGTAAGTTGGGAACAATCTGCTAATTCTGAACCTGAGTACTTTCCTTCTAGCCCTTTCTAATTGTAACCCCAAACTTGCCAAATAAATAGAAGCATTTCATTTTAAATAAGTTTTTAGGTACCTAGAGAGATGGATAGCTCAGTAGTTAAGAGTGCTAGCTGCTCTTGCAGAAGACCTGGGTTTGGTTCCTAGCACCCCCATGGCACCTAACATCCATCTGTAACTCTAGTTCCAGGGGATCCAAAGCCTTCTTCTGACCTCTGTGGGGACTGCATGACACAGGTACACTTACATACACACAGGCAGTACACTCATACACATAAAATAAAAACAGTAAATAAAGTATTTTTTGAATTTGGATTTATTTCTTTTTATTTTATGTGTATGTTTTCCTGCATGTACATGCACCACATGCGTGCCTGGTGCCCATGGAAGTCAGAAGGGAGCACTGAATCCCCTGGAACTGGTCTTAACAGGTATTAGCTGCCATGTGGGTGCTTGGAACTGAACCGAGGTACTCTACAAGAGCAGCAAGCACTCTTAATCACCAAGCCATCTCTCCAGCCCCCAATAGGAGCACCTCTGTGAATGTGCGAGGCTCTGAGGAGTTTGGAATTTGGGACTACGGTCGGTTGAGGGTGTGGCTGGGGAGGAGCAGGGCAAGGAAAAGAACGCAGAAAAGGTCCATCAAGCAGCAAAGTGTACTTCATATTTACACACGAGGGACAGGAAGACCCTCTGCCTATGTTGCCTTTTCATTGTTTATTGCTGGAGAACGGCGAGGGAGAGCTTGGAGCAGACTTTTTACATAAAGAACATGCTGCTCGCTCAGGAGACCTGTGGTTTAGGGCTGCCATGGGAGAGGCATTCACTGGGAACTCTGATGTCATTCATCTCAGAGCCATCCTATGTGGAAAGAAACCCAAACCCTCCCCACCCCGTTCCCATTTCAATTGATTTTAATGCTGGTGCAATCCTATCTAAATGCTAATTTTTTTCCATTGAGTTTGGAATGAACAAAACTTCCAAAAATTCTAGGATAGATTAAATAGAAAATATTATTATTAAAAACAAGAGAGTGGGCACTGCATTGGCCAGATTCTCTGGGGAATTGAATATTTTATATATATATATATGTGTGTGTGTGTGTGTGTGTGTGTGTACCCTGGGTTATTATGAAAACCCGACAGCAACCAGAAGGGGAATCTGAGCTTCACTGCTGCACATTTGCTATTGTTGCCAGACAGAATCTCCGGATCAGGTCTGATTAGGTCTCCCCGTGTCTCTTGTCACCTGCCATCAGTTGGAAGTGAGTGCCGTTAACTCTGTGAAGCAGGCCTCATTTCTGCATGCCCTTCTAGAACGCACTTGGAAATTGGTTTTAGAATGAAGAATCTATATTCATTTTCTAAGAGGCTGCTCTCAATACACTTGTCACTCCCCAGGACTGACATGGCCCCTGGTTGGAGTGTCTGGAACCGAGAGAGAGAGCAGCTCTCTCCGCACATCTCAGGGATTCAGGGCATGAGCCTGTATTGAACACCTGCGAAGGTGCAGGTGTATGCTAGGTGCTGGGCATTTTCTGTAATAAACTCACAGAGCAAGAATTCACGAGCAAACCCACAAGTCAGTTGCTTGCTGAGAAGTAGTGTAGGTAGGTGAGGAAGAGGTGGGCTGACTGCAGGGCTAAGCCTGCCAAGGCTCTGTTGTGGTGACCGATCACCTTCCAAAGGTCCCACATTGGGCTTTAGGTTTTTAAAATACGAATTCAGGGGACATCCAAGCATATAGACCCCAGCATTCACATTCTCGCACTCTTAGAATGGCTTCTGTTCCTTCATTGCCCTCTGTGTGCTTTGCTGTATATTTGGATTGGTGGCTCTTGGTAAAAGAGACTGAAGAGGGGACTGTGTGCATGTAGCAGTGGTGGTGTCCTGGACCCCCAAAGAGCAGGTGATGTGAGAATGGCTTTAGTGAGTGCCCTCCCCTGGATTCCCCAGCACGTTGCACGTCTCCAACTCACAGTGAGTATACTGGGCTGGTGTTATGGGTTTTTTAGAATTAATTTCTATTGTGCCCACTGATTGGAATTTCTTCTTAAATAATGTACTCTAAATTCAAGTATTGTCCTTTCCTGTCTTGAGAAATGTTTGGTGTGCCTTCAGAAACCAAAGCAAGTTCAATATCAGCAGCCCTGCGTCTGTTCACCTATTACCCCAAACTATGAACTAAAAATTAAATAAATAAATATCTTCGTGTTAATACCATGCCAATGGTACCCTGTGGGAACATGGCCACTCCAGGGAGGAATACTAGAAAAAACATGAGATTTGGCTCCAGATGGCCTTACAGCCTGAGAACTAATGCTCTTTAGTTATGTGTCCTCAGGTAATTAATCTGGGAAATATGATCATAGTTTCACCATATGAAAGACGTGCTAAAATAATATTTGTTCAACCTCACTGTAGAGAGCTGGCAGGTCTGAGAAAAGACACATGCAAAGGCCTGGACAACACTCTGCAGGCTCTGTCTGTTATTGTTCATGGAACACTGCATAAAGCTAAGGTGGGAGTTGGGGTGCAGCTCCAAAGCCTTTTCCTAACACTATCAGACCCACCTGACATAGACCTAGGAAACTCTAGGTCTGTGTCATAGACGACTCAGCCATCTTCCAGTGTCTTTAGATGAAACTTTTTAGAAAGCTATCGTTCATTAACCAAGCTCCTCCCGTGTTCTGAACTCTCCAACTCACTTTTCCTTACAAGTCCCCATTTTAACCGGAGAAAGGAGAGCTCGGAAAGACTAAACAACATGATATAGATACAAAGTTACTTGATGGCAGTTCCGGATTTGAATCCCAGTCTCCAGGACTTTGTAGAACTAGGCTTCTTCTACTGTGTTGCTCTGGGTCTCTGAAGACCCAGGAATGGAAGCCAACAGTTCTAAGGGAAATGATGTTGAGAAATTTTACCCGATGAGTAGTACCCAAGAGGCTCATATTGGATTCGTGGAAACGTGGGTTTTAACTGAATATGAACCAGTCCATGTTTTAAGTACGTCACTCTCTAGACACAGCCAATAAGGCTTAGTTGGAGTCTTTGGAGTTAATCAAAGAGCATTATTTTTGGAGAACATGCTCTACAAAGCAGAAGGAGTATGCAACTTTCTTACCCATGTTTCAAACATGTCCTCTGGGCGCAGTCGACGTAGAGTGGGTCTGAAAAAAAGGATGAGCTTTCTTGAGTAGAGACCCCCATAGCAGAGACTGAACCTCAATCCTGTGTAAATGAGACACTGATTCATCCACAAGAGCAGGAAGAGTTCCCAACCCACCTCCACCCTAAGGAAACAGAACTGTTCCACCTTCTGTGTCAGAAGAGAGCTGGGTTCAAACCACTCAGCATTTCTTTAGACCCATTAGATCCAAGGCATACCAAATACATCAGGATGGGGCAGAGGCTACAGAGTTAATGTCTTCCCAGTGTTCTTTCCTCACAGACAGGGACCACTCTTGAGCGCCCAGGATAGACCCAGAACTAGGAAACCGGACAGACAATTGTTGCATGAAGAACTGAATTTATCATCAGGGTCACTCATCAAAACAAAGACAAACACAAAAACAAACAAAACCTTAAGAACCAGGGAGAAAGGTATAAGATCTATATTTTGCTCATAGTTTCATTTCTTTCTGAATTTTGGCAGAGAGTGCTGGACATAATATTCATTCCCTCCAGTGCTGCCTCCCTGCAGAGATTAGGACTCAGCACATGAGGATCTTGGTGCTTTAGATTCAGTGAACACAGTTGTGCATATCAGGAAGGGAGGACAGGGGAGACAGTGAACTCACTAGTATGGCCCATATTCCCATATTGCTCCTTCTCCAAAACAGAACAACAATCTCCAGCTGGTGGGCCAGACCTGGCCAATGCCTCTCATTTTTATAAACAGACCCTGCTTGGGACTCAACCTCACCCATTTGTTTACACATGAGTAAGGGCTGTTTTATGCAGCAAGGCCCAACTGAGAAGTTGCAACAGAGGCCATCTGGCCCCCAGAACTGTGTAAATATTTATTCTGTGGTCCTTTAGAGAAAAAGTTTACTGACCCTGCTAGAAATGCTCTGGGTACTAGCAAATAATCCTCTCCCAGAAGTTGATGGTAGAATGGTCTATAAAGTTAGGGTGATAACAATGACTCTGTAAGGCTGGAAATTTGAGTAAGAACCTCCCAGAAAGTACCCAGAAAGGTGCTTTGCACATAGGAAGCATTTACAAAATTGTCATCATTAGGGTAGAGTTTCACTTTCTCACTCTGGCTTACTGTATCTGGCTAAAGTGATGTGCTAACTGGAATGAGGTAGTCTAACCCTACTTCCTGGTGTAGATCCATATTCAGAAGTGGTAATATGGATTGCCTCTTACCAATGACCCACAAAACCACACTGGTGAGTTTTGTTTGACTTGGGGAGTTTCTCCAGGTTATTGCTCTTGGTGCGTCCAGATTGTCAGCACTGAGAGTCTCCTCCCCAGATCTGACACCCTCCCCCTCCATCCCCACATGTCATCTTGGGCACCTTTGATGTTCCTTCACAAACACCACGAGTTCCTCTTCTGTGTAAGGTTTGTTGGGGATGATAATGGGCTCATCCATAAATGGCTCATAGAAGTCAACCTCATTCATCTTCAAGGACAATTTCTTTGCAACCTGTAACAGTTAAAAATAAGACAATAATTCACTTAGACGCTAGCTTAGAGGAGCAATGGGCTATCCATCTGTGCTGGATAGCTTCAGTTGTCAACTTGACACACCTGGGTAGAGGGAACCTCGAGTGAGGAACTGTCTCCATTGGATTGGCCTGTGGCCCTGTCTGTGTGGCATTTTCTTGATTATTGAGTGATATAGGAGGGCCCAGCCCACTGTGGGCAACGTCACCCCTGGGCAGATGGTCCTGTGTTGTATAAGAAAGCAAGCTGAGCACAGGCAAGAGAGCAAGCCGGTCAGCAGTGTTCCTCCATGGTCTGTGCTTCAGTTCCTGCCTCCAGGTTCCTGCCCTGAGATCCCTTAGTGATGAACTATGACTTGAGAGATGTAAGATAAAATAAACCCTTTCCTACCCAAGTTGATTTTGGTTTCATCACAGCAATAGAGAAGCTAACTAATGCACCATCCAAGAGACCATGCGTGTGTTCTTTGGTAACAGCAGGAGACTGTAGGTGCGATTTTATCTTAAATGTTGAAGTAGTAGGACTGCTCACTTGTCTGATCTGGAACAATCTGCTTCTATGGTCAAATATGGATCAGTAGAAAAGACTCATCAGGGAAATGTGGGCCAAGGAGTGACAGGTTGCTGTTGGACTAAAAAGTGGGGAATGTAATTGCATGCTCATCTTTACCATATTTGCCAGGGCTGAAAAGAGTAAGGAAATGCTAAGAGAGCATGCTTACTCTGAGGGTTGGGTGACTTTAACTGATCTAATTTATGGAAAAGGCCAGTGATAGAAAGCAGTTCATGGAATTAGAAGCCAATCCATCCATCTGCCCTTGGTCCACTCATAAACCCTAGGTGCTGTTTAGGTTGTTGTGGGAAGTAGAGGGTTAGTCTCTCAGTACCAGGCTTGATTGACATTTTGCCAGGCCCTGAGAACATCCCATCTGTAAGACGACCTACCATCCTGCTTTGCTGAGGTCAGAGCTTCCTGCACTACAATCTGGATTGATCCCAGGGAGTCAGGATGAGCAGCTCATTCAATAGTGAAACTTGAAGAAGAAAGAGCCCATAGCCTGAAAGACGTTTTTCCCTCTTGATTGAAGGGGACACACATAGAGCTGTTGTCAAGGCAGAATGGTTGCTGTGTTTGCCTGCAAAGCTGCTAAACTCATGGCATCTCATTGTGACATGATTTGAGAGGCCTGGAATGTGCGAGGCTCACTAGGAAACCAAAAGCCATTCTCTAGCTTGGAGCTGTGGTCCAAGAAAGCACAGGGTCAAACAGTGGCTCCCTTAAAACTGTGTGGGACTGCCTAGAATCTGACACCTCATGGTGGTAACCACAGTTGTCCAGGGCCTGTGACTAATGGGAGTTGCATAAGCTCTTACACAGGAGGTCCATTCTGCAGAAACTTTTATGTCCACAAGTGTCAGCAATTGCTATTAATTCCAGGTCACTATATTCCAAAAGACATGTTTTAAATCCAGTGACCTACTCGGCGCTAAAGAAAATAGGCCACATGAAGAGCTACAGGCAGGCTGGGCCTCACAGAGTAAGGGTTAAAGTCAATACTAGGGAGGCTAAGTGGGAGGAGCACGCATTCAGGGCCAGACTGGACTAGCGTGAGTTTAAGGCCTGTCTGTCTAATTAATCAAAACCCTGTTTTAAGATTAAAAATTAAAGAGTGGGCTGGGGTTGAAACTCCGTAGCAGATCTCTTGTCTAGGATGTGTGAAGTCCGAGGTTCAATACACAGGAGAGAGAGAGAAGGTTGCTTTGGTTTTGAAAAGAGGTGTGGACTTTTCTGTACACTAGAGTGCAGTGTAACTGGTGAGGCAGGGATCATGGAGGGTGGAGGGGCAAACATGACCAGTGCCTGTATTACATACATGCCCTTGCAAACCAGGCCAGTGGAGGACTGTGTCTGAAAATGACAGATTCTGCTGTTTGAATTCACTCACTTGCTGTATATTCTTCTTCTTTTTTTTTTTTGGTCTTTTGGAGACAGTTTCCATTTGTAGACCAGGCTGGCCTCGAACTCACAGAGATCTGCCTGCCTCTGCCTCCCGAGTGTTGGGACTAAAGGTATGTGCCATCACGCCCAGCTTTTTTTGGTCTTTTTGAGACAGGGTCTCCCCATAGCTCCAGTTGACCTTGAACTCACTATGTAGACCAGGCTGACCTTGAACTCACAGAGATCTGCCTGCCTCTGCTTCCCGAGTGCTGGGATTAAAGTTACGCGCCACCATACCCAGCCTTACTATATAGTCTAAGAATCAGATGAGAAATTATTAGAATGAACACAAGTAAAAAAAAAAAACAGTAGCACTAGCAAGCACAGAGAATGCTTACTAAGTGTTGGGCACTATAACGAAGTGCTTTGGGCGGATTACTTTATATAATCTTTGCCTCGATTGAATGAGGTAAGAGCTATTACCTGATTATTTTACAAATGAAGAACAATTTGGATGAGCAATTCATCAGGAACATAGACCAGGAGAGGGGCAGAGCCATAATCTGGATGCAGTTTGGGAGGACTCCACACCTCGTTTCCTGTATTCCATCACTGTTTTTCCTTCTGTAAATCCCTTTCTCCTGACAGTATAAAGAAAGGAATGTACACATGTCCCTGTGAACAGTGCATCAGCACCACATGTCGTGAGATGCTCCCTCATCCTTCTTGCAATACATTCTTATCAGTTCATCTCACATCATGGAAAGTAATTATGACTAACTGTGAGAGAGCAGATCAGAGCCACTGTCATGGTAAAATGTGTGCGTGTGTGTGTGTGTGTGTGTGTGTGTGTGCATGTGTGCCTGTGCACATGTGCCTGTGCATACCTCTGTATGCGTGCACTTCTGTGTGTGCCTGTGTGTGTGTCCCTGTGTGCACCTGTGTGTATATCTGTGTGCACTTGTGTGTACCTGTGTGTGCATGTGTGTGTACCTGTGTGTGCCTGTGCCTGTGCATATGTGCCTGTGCATATCTGTGTGTGTACTTGTGTGTGTGGCTGTGTGTGCCTTTGTGTGCTTGAGTGTGCATGTATATGTGCCTGTGGGTGACTGTGTGTGTGCCTGTGTGTCCACCTAAGTGTGTGCCTGTGTGTGTGCACCTGTGTGTGTGCACCTGTGTGTACCTGTGTGTGCCTCTGTGTGTGTGTGTCCCTGTGTGTGTGGGGGGTCACTGGTCATGATTGCCACCGCCTGGCTCTGTAATGCTATCAATGTAAAACTGGATTGTCACGTCCTTAAGTTTTACTGAGAAGAAACCTCAGTAAGAATGTCTAAAGCGTCTTCACCCTTTCTGTCCTTATCCCTCCAGAGAGCACTTCATCTTCTGTTTCCTTTCTTCTCTGCTTTTCGATTGTGTCTTGGACTGAAGGAGAGTTGACTGACTGAAGAGTTTATTCATTCATTTTGTCAATCACTATCTACTAGGGTCTTCTGTATCTAAAGCATGATGCTAGAAAGACCTGTTCATGGGTGTTGCAATTACCCAGAAATTCATGTACTAGCAAATGCCAAATAGCTCCGGCAAACCAAATGAGTCCACACTTTTCCTTTTGCCTTTAACTAGTTGGAATAAATTTTGGCAGAGACAAGAAAGCTGCAAAGTATGATGGCCAATTTCCTGACGTTTATGTGCACATGAATTTTGATTCATATTACTTTTCTGCAGTTTAACAAGCCAAGCCAGTGGTTAGCAACAAGTATCAACTCAGTAGGAACTTCGGCTTTTACCACATCTCCACCAGCTCCCTTCAGGCTCCAGTGTGATTATGAAAACACTGACTTTCCATCTCACTGGTCCTCAGACAGAAGGAGAGGGGACAGGCTGGGGGAGGTGGTGTGGGGTCCCTAGAGCTGACCTTTCCAGGCTGCCGGGTGCAGCAGGGTGGTCGCCAGCCTCTTGCTTCAGTTGCTTCCTCGGAGGGGCTGAACTTTTGTATGGCTTGATTTAGGATTGGGGATCTGGGTGGATCCCAAACATGTGTGTCCTGTAAAGTTCTCTGTAAAGTTTAAGTTTTTTTCTTAAAATTCATATTCCTGGGTCCTGTCACAAAAATCTAAAAAAACAAAAACAAAAACCTCTAGACTTCCAGGAATAATCTCACAGATCAAAGCTTTAAATTTCTTCTGTATTACATTTATTTATTTTGTGTGTGCATGTGTGGAAGTCAGAGGACAACTTGCAAGAATCTGCTCTCTCCTTCTACCGTGTGGGTCTTGGGGACTGAACTCAGGTCATCAGTCTTGGTGACAAGCACCTTTACCCACTGGGCTATTTTACCAGGCCAAATTAAGGTTTTAAAAATCTCCTGGGTGAATTAAGATTGGCTGCAGTTGGGAGTCACTGACTTTCAAAAATCCGCATCTGAGGCCGGACCTCTCACCTTTACACTCCTCCAACTCATGGTGTACTGTTGGTTTTTTTTTACTAGCTTTTGGTCCTCTCATCTTCTCTCTCACTTAAACTCTAAATTCTACAAGTCCAGGAACATATTTTGCTCAGTGGTATTTGTGTCCCTGGTACCTAGAAGACACTCAGGAAATACTTGTGGAATGAATGAATGAATGAATCTGTGAATAAAGCTAGCTGCAGTTGTTGAATGTTTTTTCAGTTAATGAAACCCAGACTCACAATCTGGTCTTGTGTTCCTAACAGACTCTTTTTTCCTAGACTTCCTAATGTTCTCAGTACTTTGAGTCTTTGTCATTTTGAAGCTGAGATTTGCAATCTCTGACTTTTGGGGGCATGGTTTCTTCTTTTTCTTCTTCATCGTGGCCCAGTGCCCTTCTCTTGTCAACATCCCTGTATCTTTGTCCTTATGAGTGCTTCCTGAGTCCTTGTCTCCTGGATTCAAACTTCTTCAATCCATCTCCTGGTCCCTCTGAGATTCCCTAGAGCCCCTCACATTTACTACTTTTCCGCTCATCTGCTCTATCGCCCCCTGCTGGACATTGTTGAAGCTGCAGCCATGCCCTCTGGATCCCACCTCCTCCCACTGGGCATCACCCACTCCAGGATGAGTGCAAGTCCCAGCTGGCATCAGTGTGGTTGGTATGTATGTATGTATGTATGTATGTATGTATGTATGTATTTGTGTCCTTTTTTATTTGCAACAAGGTCTCAGGTCTCCCTGTAGCCCCAGTTGGTCTGAAACTCACTATGTAGAACAGACTGTCCTTAGTCTCACAGAGATCCACCTGCCTCTGGCTCCTGAGTGCTGGAATTAAAGGCATATGCCCCACCACACCCATCTGGCATCCTCTTATTTTTCAATCTACTTTAAACATTTCCAGAGACGTTCAAACCTTAATCCTTCATGCCTCCAACACTGTTCAATCGAGCTTTCGTAGGTACTTACCCCCTTGTCGAAGGTGGCAAAGAACTTGATGTAGGGCTGGAAGTGCTCAGCTGCCTCTTGGAACGCTTTGTAATCTAGAAGGGGAAAGCCATGAAAGAGAACTGTTTGTAAGAGGTGAACTACAGACTTTGCTTTGTAAATGATGCGGAGAACAGAATACCAGTCCATCCTGGTTGGACAGTTATTCAGTAGGAATTATTAAGCTAAATGTATCATTTAAACTCATACCTTCCTCCAAGTACTTTAAACTGCCTGGCAACCAGTCACCCGAGAGATGCTTCTTTTCCCACGTTTGTAGGCAGAAAGCAAAAAGTAGGGGAAACGGGGGACAAGGAAGAAAAGACATGGAAAACTCCAGACCAAAAGAAGCAACCCTTTCACTCACATTCCGGTTATGACTGTGCCCACTAGAGATGGCACAGTTTCTTACATAAATGAGCCTCAGTAAGAAGGAAATTCATCTTACTGTGTGAAGTAACCACAATAAAAAATAACCTCACAAAAATAGTTTAAGCCTCTCTCCAGGAGCAGTCCTATTAGTGAATATTAGGGTTGCTTTTCCTTCTAAAAAATAGTTTACTTTTAAATTCTGATCCTCTGAGAGGATTATTTAAATGTAACCAAGCCTATGCTTGACTCAAATTTCAAACTTTCATCCGCATTTGTCACAGTAGGTAGACACCACGCCCACGTGAGAACGCCATGCCTTAGTACACCTGAGTAGGGGCTGTGTACAGGATCTACATTCAAGCCTTCATCTGAGGGTGATAGAAATGATGGTAGTTGTGATTCTAAATAAATTCTGTAATCCTATAATCCGGAGCCTATGTTTTATTCGTCACAAGATTAACTTTCTTTCGCTTCATTGAATTCCATATCCCTGAATCTGGGATCATGCAGAACTTTAAAAGAGTCTGTCATAAAGCATTTTAGAATAATGCTAGCTCAGGGGATATCAAGATGAAAAGGACAAAAACACTGGTCTCAAAAGATTCTTGGCCTGGGGAGGGCCACTGGATTTAAAGAGCCATAGGGCTGGGAAGATAATTCAGTTAGTTGTTTGCCTTGTGAGGACAGGACTTGAATTTGGGGTTTGAGGCCCCAGAAGCCACGTGAAAAAAGCCAGACAAGGGTAGTGCAAGCTTGTCATCCCAGTGCTAGGGAGGTGGCGACAGGCACATCCCTGGGGGTTGCTGGCCTACTTTGCAAGTTCCAAGCCAGTGAGAAACCCTGCCTCAAAAAAAGAAAAAGATAAAAAGAAAAACCCGATGGACAGTGCCTGGGGAACAACACCCACCAGGTCCTCTGACCTTCAGATGTGCATGAACACACAGGTATATGCACCGCCACACATGTGCACCCACTCCTACACAAACAAGCACACACACACACACCATACACACAGAAGTTAAAATGCCCCACTCATATCTTTATTGTTTAAATTTTTTTTGAGACAGGGTTTCATAGAGCATAGGCTGGCTTTGAACTCCTAACCCTCCTGCCTCTACCTCCCAAGTGTCAAGATTATAGGCATGAGTCATTATGCCTGGTTGCTATTTAGATTTGATAATAATTATTAAGGTGTCTATACATTCATAAGTAAGAGTGTCACTATTATTTTTGTGTACATGATATGGTACAAAGAGATATAGTTGGAATTTCAATCCCATTAAACTATCATAAGAAATATGAAGATTATAATTATCAACGAAAAAAAGCATCAACTGTCAGGATGTAAGGGTGTTTGTGTCCACAAAGAATGGAAACTGAACCATCTGAATTATATCCAACAGCAAGAAAAGAATGTTTATCAGTGAAAGAAAAAGCAACCAGTGTGGTCTGTTCCTTTGCTGCCATTCAATGTGTGAACGAGTCTCTTATCAATGCTGATTTTCAAGAATTTGAAGAGCCCATCGCTTGAAGCCTTTGTCAGGAACTGCACGCTGCTATTTTAAGCCCGATGCTGAATATCACAAAGCTGTGTTCTTGGAAGCAAACTCAAGATTCTCATTCAAAATTTGAAAATGTCATAGGTGATATAGTCCCTATCTTATATCTTATTGTTCCCATTACATAAGGACAGTAAAAAGCAAATTCATAAAGCCCAACTCTCTTCCAAGCTACTCATTTTATACCTGTAATCAAACCACATTTTAAAAAATGTATTTTATTTATTATTTTTACTTTATGTGTATGAGTGTATTGCCTGCGTCTGTGTAAGTGAACCCATATCATGCAGTGCCCATGGCTTCCATAAGAAGGTGTTGGAGCTCCTGGAACTGGAGTTATGGATAGTTATTTATTAGCTATCATGTGGGTGCTGGGAACCGAACCTGGGTCTTCTGCAAGAGCAGCCACTGTTCTTGACTGATGAGTCATCCCTCGAGTCCCACGATCACATTTATTGTGTGCTATCCTCCAGCATAGTTTGCAAAGTCTTGAAATTATTCCCCTTCAAATTTTTATTTATTTTATTTTATTTGTATGAGTGTTTTGCCTGCATGTATGTATGTACTTCATGTGTGTGCAGTGCCTACAGAGGTCAGAAGAGGGCATTGGATCACCTGGAACTGGAGTTACAGATGGTTGTTAGTCACTATGTGGGTGCTGGGAAATCAACCCAGGGTCTTACAGTTATACCCAAGGCTGAGACACAAGCAGAAAGCTTAGCCCACTGAGCTTGGAGGGCCAAATCGGGTTTTTAAAAGGTATGCAAAAGGTTACCCTTTCTGATCCTCTCCCCCTGCTCCTCCTCACTCCTGCCCACCATCCTCTCCTGCATGCAGGACCCACTCAACCCACAGCAGTGATGATGTGGCAGGTCCCTGTGCCTGCCCACAACCTGGTCACAAAACCATCAGGGAAATCTGCCCAAGGGTGTGGTGACAACTGTGGCCACAGCCTGGTGGTCAGTTGTGGGCTTGGCCAGCTATTTTTCACATTCTGGGGCAGCTGCTGAACCCATCCCTACCCAAATTTTCCATTAATGCTTTCCATTTGGGGGGAAAGTGCTCCAGCTGGTGACCATGGGAGCTGCCAACATCAGGAAGATAGTCTGCTGAGTCCCATTTTAGGGAAAGTAGAGGAAGGCATAAAGTGCTTCTCTTTCCTGTAGAGCACCCCCCCACACACACACCTACCTTTAAGAAACAAACAGAAAACATGATCGAACCTAAATGTTCCTTCAATCCCTCTGCCTGCCTTGCACAATTTCTGTACAAGCCTCCCTTGGCACAGACGACAGGAAGAACTCTAACCTTTATTGCCCCCAAGAGAAGAAATGCTGAAGTCACACCCTCTGTTGGGTCCCTTGTTAGGGATCTAGCCTTTGGCAGACAGACCTGGGTTGACAGACAACTTACATTCTGAATCCTCATTCTTGAAAAAGCCGAGGAGTTTGATCTGGTCCTCAATGCGTTCAAAGGCTTGGGCTTCCAGCTTGTTACCCACAATCTCCACTGGGTCTTCAATGAGCTAAAATGCCACACACAGAGACACAAAGATGCTCAAATAAGAGAGATTTTCCTGGGCTGGAGAGATGGCTCAGCAGTTAAGAACACTGGTTTTTCTTGCAGAAGACCTGGGTTTGAATCCCAGCACCCACATGGCAGCTAACAACTGTCTATAACTCCAGTCCCAGGGGATCCAACAGCCTCTCTGACCTCTGCAGAGATTGCACAACACAGGTGCACTTACCTACATGCAGGTAATACACGCATACACATATAATAAAATTAAAAAAAAATTATTTTAAAAAGAGGGATTTTCCCTCCCCAGTGAAAAAATACAGTGCTTTGGGGAGAAGTTGTAATTGACTTCATGGTTAGGGCCCAGAGCACACCCCACCCTACCCTGGTGAGCTCAGCAGCAGCACCTTTAGAAGAATTCGTCCTAACTAAAGGGATGGGGTGATTGTTCTTGGGGCAGCTCCAATCTTGATAACTATTTGTTTTCATTTTTATCTTTGACAAAATTGACAAATTATAACTTTATAGATTGTGTATATATGTATGTGTAGTGTGCGTGAGTGTGTGGGACTTGTGTGAAGGCCCATGGAGGACACTGGGCATCTTCCTCTACTACTCTGTTGCTTTGAGACTAGAGGCTTGCTGACCATGACCAGCCCGCTCTCAGGATCCACTGTTTTTGCCTCCCAGTGCTGGGGTCACAGGCACATGCAGTCATGCCTGTTTTCAACATGGGATTTGAACTCGGGTCTTCAGACCATCACATTTGCAGAGAAAGCACTTTTATCCACTAAGCCATCTCTCCAGTTCGTAACTGTTTATACTTATAGGATACAAAGTGCTAAGTATTATGAATAAATTGTGAAGTAATTAAATGAAGCTAATTGACATTCATTTTCTCAAACACTTATCATTTTGTGATGAGAACAATTGGAATTCACTTTCTCTGCAGTTTTGAAATGTATGTTTTCTTTTACTGCAATGACCACACTGCACTTTCTATCTCGAAGGAAGAAAACTGTATTCCTTCTGTCTGCTGACGCTCCACTCGTTGGGTCATCATTTCCCGACTACTCACCCCACCCCAGACTAGTAACCACCGTTCTATCTGCTCTTTGCCTTCTTCTAAGTTCAATGATCTTAAATACCACATGTAAGTAAAAATATGTGCTACTGTTTTGATATGAAGTGTCTCTCAAAAGGCTTGAATGTTGATGATCTGGCTGCAGCTGGTGGATCAGTCACTGAGACACGATTAGATCATGAAGGCTCTGACTTTCTGATGGGTGAATTCATGGATAGGTTCATGATTTGATGGTGTTATTGGGAGGTGAGGAGAATTAGGAGATGGAGCCCGGTTAGAGAAAGTGTGTCACTGGGGAATCTGGTCCCCAGACCCTTCCTCTTTCTCTCTCTGCTTCTTGGCCACCACAAGGTGAGCAGCCTCTGCCCTGTGTTCCTGTCCCCACATCTGCCTTGTCTCAGGCCCAAAATAATGGATCCAGCAGGCTTTGGATGGAAACCTCCTAACCTAAGAGCTCAAATAAAACATCCCTCCATTTGAATTGTTTTTCTAAGGTATTTAGTCATAGCAATGAAAAATGTACACTACATGTAATTTCCATCTTTCTGAGCCTGATTATTATATTAAGCGCAATATAATACCGTCTCAAATAACAAGATTGCTTTTCTTTTCTTTTTCTATTCACCAGTTGACTTGTGTTAATTCTATAACATCTCTTGTCATTTTTGATTCAAGAATGGACAAGTGGCCTAGTTCTGGCTCAAGGAGGACAGATTTGCTGAAGCTGTGGTAAAAGCCTTCTTCACCCCTAAGAAAATGATGGGAGGCCGTGTGAAGAGAACAACGGGAAGGAAATGTGATGTGTCCCTCTGGCAGTTGCCCATCTTGTTACTGACCCCAGAGCAGTCACCTTGAGGACAGAGTTATTTGTGGTTTACAGAGATAAAGCCTGGAGGTCAAGTCTAAACACTGTCCTAACTGGTTTGCTGCTTCTGCTAGTCAATCACATTGTTTATTGTTTAAAGCAAGTGGAGTCTTCCTTCCAGAAGCTTCATCCTAGCTGATAAATTTTGAGCAATGTCATGTTGGTCCGGAGTTATGATGTTGCTTCTCTCAACTATTCTTCAGGAGCCACTCATGGTGAAGCACACCTTTAATCCCAGCAGCTGGGAGGTAGAGGCAGGCAGATCTCTGTAAGATGGAGGCCAACCTGGTCTACATAATGAGGTCCAGGCCAGCTGGGACTACAGAGAGATCCTGTCTCAAAAAGGCCAAAACACAAAACAGAACAATTCTTCAGGACTTGCAGGTGTGGATCAGTGAGACAGCCAAGCGGAGACCATGCACACTTTATTTTGATAGGCAGTAACCTCCTGACTTTTCCCTGCTTTTTGAAGCTACAGAGAGAAAGCATTAGACCACTGGGTTATCAGCTGCTAAACAGAAGATGATCCATGAGGACGGCCAACACTCAGTTCTTTGTGCTGTGGCTGTTGTTTGGCTTTTGGCTGCTTGAAACAGAGTCTCCCTACAGAGCCCAAGCTGGCCTCTCCCTCCCAGTCCTCCAGCCTCCTCCCATTCCCGGGCTGGGATTACAGGTGTATGCTACCATGCCTGGTAGCATTAGGTTCTTTATCTGTGCAGAACACAGGTCCTAGAGCCTTTAGCCTTACAGCTGTGATTGAAAGTGTAGGTTTATTTATAGGTAAAATATTTTGTAGCATTATTTTTCCCTCTGTTTAATAGAATTTATAGAGTCAAGGGTGTGGTGAAAGTGAATGTGATATTGGGGGTTCCTTATCTCTGTCTTTCCTCTTAAATTCTTTTTCTTTTACATTTATGCATTTATTTGGCGTGTATGATAGAGGAGGGGGTTGCACACATGCCATAGGGTGTGTGTGTGTGTGTGTGTGTGTGAGACTGTCTGTGTGTGTGTGTGTGTGTGTGTGTGCGTGTTGTATAGGTCAGAGGACAACTCTCGGGAGTCAATTCTCTTCTTCTACCCTGTGGGTCCTGGGGATTGAACTTAGGTCATCAGGCTTGGCCGTAAGCACATTTATCTGCTGACTCACCATTTCCCCTTGTGTAGCTCAGAGTGTGACCCAGGGTGACCAGGCCTGTTGGTACCCACTTCTATCCTTGGGTGACTGGTTAGCCCCCTCTCCCCCCATACTCCCTGGTTTTCCCTCAGTGTCACTATACTAATGTCATGGGGGATTCAGTGGACATCAGTGGATAGCCAGTAAGATAATAAATATGTCACTACTACATCTATGACCCTGGGGCCACTTAAGATAGTTTCTAGGGTGACTTAAGGGCCTGCTTCCCAGTAAAATTAGATGTTGTTGTAATTTGGGCATCCTTAATATTTTGTGAAGCAGGGACCCCTTGTAGCCCAGACACGTCCCACTTATTTCTCCGAAGAGCTATGGGTGAGTGCAGGGCACCCTGGGAAGAAGGGTGGAGCCTAGCGTGGTGGGAAGTCAGAACGAAGGGAGGAGGAGGTGTGCGACCGCTGTGGAAAATGGCCATGGTGTCCTGTAAGCATGGAAGCGGGGTAGGGCATTTACAGACCTGGGCCGAGACCACGGGGATGAGGGTGGGGCTAATGGAGACTGTGGGCAGCGATAGGAACAGGCACCATAAGTCACCCCGCACTCCCTACCATAAAGGAAACCCCCCTAAACTAAAAACGTCTTATGTTAGTCTGTGAGCCTGGGGCCTTGGGAGGGAGTCTCCCAAGAAGGGAAAAGGGAAAAAAGGTTAGTGTCAAGATCTCCAGCTCTCCTGTTTTTACTTCAGGGTTTCACCCTCCCCTACGTGGACAGCTCCATGCAAGGCCACCATGCCTAAATGCTCACATCCAGGAGAAACTCCACCAAGACATCGGCTGCAAACTCGCCATCAAACTCAATTGTGCGGTCACCCTTAAGAACATACAGGCTTCCTTCTTCATCAAAACCTGCAAGGAATAGAGGGCAAATGTCAATGTCATTCTGCTGCACAAAGAGCCCCCACATTGGCCCTGAGTGGCAGCACAACCAGTTTTCACTCAGACATTGAATCTGAGAGCTATTCTCTGCTCTGCCATGGCTTTAGTTTTCCACAAATATTGCTGAACCCCTGTCATTCTCTTTATCAAAGTCTTTAATATTCACTGCCCACTAGGCCCCTTAGCCTGGCATTCAAGTCCATCAGGGGCCAGCCCTGCCTTTTACACACCGATAACCAGACCATCTTCCTTGTCTTTTGAGTCATTCCCATCACTCCCAGCCCACAGGCTGATATGACAGGATGCGTCAAGGAAAGGGTGCAGAGCAGGGGTCTTCGCTTACGTTCTTCTAACCTGGAGTGACCACCATCCCCAACTCCATCTTGGCTCACTCCTTCGGGTCCCAGTTTAGACCCATTTTTATCTAAGGTTGTTGCAAACTCCCTCGACTCCCACAGCAGGTATTTGCTCTACAAGATGTTCTCTAACAATAGAAACATTGTATTCTTGGCATTTCAGTCTCTTGCCCAGATCCTGGACATATCAGTAGACAACCCTTAAATGTGTGTGGCCAGACATCCTTAATTCCTTAATTGTTTTCACACTATTAGCTGGGAGATGTCTTCTCCAAATGAATCATGTAGGACCCCCAGGAACAGGAGGACTGGGCTGCAGCAGGATGCCTGGCAGCCATCTGAGGTACCCTGGCACACCTGGCAGTATTGAAAACACAATGAAAGGAGCAATGTGCCAAATACTCTCTTTTTCAATGTGTGCCAAGTGTTTTGCCTGCATGTAAGTGCACCATGTGCATGCAATGCCCACAGAGGCCAGAAGAGGGCATCAGTTCCCTTGGAACTGGAGTTACAGATGATTGCTAGCCACCATGTGGGTGCTTGGGACCTGGGTCCTGGGTCCTCTGCAAGAGCAACCAGTGCTCTTAATGGCTGAGTCGTCTCTCCAGCCCCATGTCAAGTATTCCTGACTCTGATGACCTTTGATCTTAAAAGGTGCCCCAGTGAGCACTGGCCAGTGTCCTGCTTGGGATCTGTCACAAGTGAGACCAGATCAGAGCTTCTGGCACTGATTCAGACCAAAGTAAGGCAAACAGGGAGAGGGATAAGGAGAAAAAGGCAGGTTCACAAAATACAACTACCTTCTGTAATCCCAAGGATCAAGCATCTAGAGGGCAGCTGCCTCCATGGTGAGCTTAGGGAGAAGCTTATTAGGACATCCCAAGCTCCATCATGCCCTTGGTCAGTCTGTCCTTGTGAATTCTTTCTTAGCTTGTTCTGTCTAAATTTGTGGATTTCTAGAACATTGGCATTTTTATCCCTAAGTTTACAAAAAATTCTTCCAAATACCACTTACCATTAAAACAGTGGGAAGAGAAAAGACTAGGAATCAATAAATTGCAGGGGAAAAAGAGGCAGAACTCATTGAGTTATTTCTGACTCTAGGGAACCTTAATGTATTTTTTCTCCCATGCTCATGGAGGAAAAAATATCTTTAATGTATCTCCAGGGAAAGAGATATCTCTGGCATCTCAAGTCATCATTTTATAGACATGAGTTCTTCTTTGTGTCTAACTCAAGTGGTCTTCTATAGTTTAAATCTTATTTTTAAAAATGACTGGTCTTCTAGAAAATACAATAAGAGTTACTTGTAATTTGCTAGGCTAATGAACTTGCACCTACCTGAAGGTGATCACTGAACCACCACTGAGCTGGGTTTTTTTTCCCCTTCTTCTCTGCTTATGACTCCAAATCCAATTAACCTTTTTTCAAAGGCCCTGTTTTATAACCCCCTGCTATTTTTTAATAGTCATTCTCCACTGGTCATGCAGAAAAAGCCAAATGGACAGTGTGTGCAGGGGTGTTTGGAAGCCGGGGGAGTCCCTGTGCCCTTCCTCCCTGGGATTATGGGCTGGGAATCTTAAAGGGCATTTGAGCCGGACATATTGACATGAGAGATTACAGCTTCCACTGCATGGTCACTTAACCATACCACTTCTGAATCCTCCCACTTATCGAGGGGGTGCTGTTGCCCGGCTGGGGTTTAGCCTTAACCTTGGGACCTCCTGGGACCCTGCAGTATCCATCATTAATGCATCTCGTTCTGGCTGCTGCTGGAGCTCTCCCAGAGAGGCCATTGAGGTTCTGAGATAGAGATGCTGCCCAGTCTCTTTAGGAGCTGAGGATGAAGGCTCAAGTCTTAGCATCAGTTTCTTCAGGAAGAAGCCTCTCTTCATAGTACTAGTACAAAGACAGATTGACTGATTCACACTGGACTGTTAGATTTGGGCCTAGATTTACTCTTAGAGAGATCTTCATTAACCCAAGACTGAGTACATGCTATCATTTTATATTTATTTGAAAATAACCCAATAATCATGCAAGGTAAATGCAACTATGCATTTTCTTTACCAGATACATTTGTTTCTTTTCAGTAGATCTCAAATACCAAACTTACCCAGTTTCTTGGCAAGCTTGGCTTCTTTCTTGGAATCTACCATCACAAAGCCTATGTTTTTATGTTCCAGGACCTGGGCCACAAGCTGAAAAGACAAATCGGAAACCAAGGTCAGGGTGACAGGAATCATAATCTTTCTTCCTTTAGCCCTACTTCTCCATACAGTTAATCAGGCTACTCCATCTATCAACAGGTTTGTTCTTTTTCATTGCTGAGCAGACTTCCATGGTATGGCTGTATCACAGTTTACTTAATCATTCATCCGCTGAAAGATAACGGAGCTGTTTCCAGCTAGTGACTATTTTGAATTGAGCTGCTATAAATACTTGCAAGTGGGTTTGAGGGTTAAATATTAGTTTTAATTTCTCTGGAATAAATGCCTAGGAGTATAACTTCTGAGTCATACGGGAGTTTCATGTGTAGTTTTTACTGGAACCACCAAACTGTTTTCCAGAATGGCTGTGCTATTTTGCATTCTCATGAATAATGTATGAGCGCCTCTACATCCTTGGTGGTGTCGCAATTCTAGTTTAGTCACTCTAAGAGGTACGTAGTGATGTTTCCTTGTTTTATTGTGTGCTTTGTGAAAGGTTATGGCTTTGAGTATTTTTCCATGTGAATTCTATGAAATGCTTCTTCATGTTGTTTTCCCATTTCTATAGTTAATATTAGCTATTTTTGGAATATGTGGTTTACAAATATTTTATCCTATTCTGTATCTTGTCTTCTTAATTGGGGTTTTAAAAAAATTTATTTATTATTATTATTTTTTTATGTGTATGAGTGTATTGCCTGCATGTAGGTAAATGCACCCATGTCATGCAATTTGGGGATCGAACCCAGGTCCTCTGCAAGAGCAGTCAGTGCTCTTAACCTCTGAGCCATCTCTCCAGCCTCAACTGGAGTTTTTCATAGAACAAAAATGTTAATTTGGAGACTGGAGAGATGGCTCAGCAGATAAGAGGGCTTACTGCTCTTGCAGAGGACCCAAGTTCAATTCCCAGCACCTACATGGCAGCTAACAACGACCTGTAACTCCAGTTTCAGGAGATCTGCCACCTCATCCAGCTTCTGAAGGCCCCTACATGCATGTGGTGCATATAACTCACACATGCTCACATACATACATACAATTTTTTTTTTAATGTTTTAAGTTAATTTCCTGAGGCTGAGGACATGGCTCAGTGGGTAAAGTGCTTGCTGCACAAGTATGACGACCTAAGTTCAGATTCCCAGCACCCATATAAAAGCTAAGTGTGGTGGCACATGCTTATAACCCCAGCTCTGGGAAAACAGAGACAGGTGAATCCCTGTCTTCCTGAGCTCTAGCTTCACGAGAGACCCTGCCTCAAAAAACAAAGTGGAGAGCAATTGAGGAAGACTTACTTGGCATTGACGTCTGGCACCACATGCATGTGCACTCACATGCACAAATAGAAATTTTTAAAATTTTAATTTCAATGAAGTCTAATTGATCAATATTTTCCATGTTGGGTCCAAATGGTGTTGCCATAAATTCTGATAACTTTTTCTCTAAAAGTTTTATAGCTTTAGTTCTTTATTCTTATAAGACATGGCTATTTTGCTTACATTTTGTGCAAGCTGTGAGATGGCTTGGAGTTCTTTTTTGCTTTGTGTGGTAGTTAATGTTCAACATTCCTTGCACCATTTGTAGAAGGCGTCTTGCCCACTGAATTGCTTGCACATCTTTATGAAGACTTGGGTGATGCATCTCTCTAGGTCTATTCCTGCCTTTTCTATTCTGTCCTGTTGATCTGTGTGTCTTTCCCTCTGCCAGCACCAGGCAGTCTGGGTTGTATGTGCTAAGTCCAAAAAATGGGCAGATTTTGTGTTTTCATTGTATTCTCTATGCAAATTGCTTTAATGGCACTTTTTTTTCTTCTACAAGAACCATAGGAATCTTATTCTTTGCATTTACAAAAATCTTACTAAGATTGTGGCATTAACTCTTGTACCAAGTGATACAAGGAGAATGTTAAGTTCTGATTCACGAGATTGTTGTCTCTCCATTTACGTCCTCTTTGATTTTTTTCTCCATCCACATTACATAGTTTTCAACATGTAAATCTTTTTTGTTTTTTTGTTTGTTTGTTTTATTTTGTTTTGTTTTTTGATTTTTTTTTTTAAGACAGGATTTTGAGCTTGAACTTGCTACATGGTCAAGGCTGGCCTTAAACTTCTGATCCTCCTGCCTCTACCTCCTAAATACTGGGATTACTGGCATGTGTCATCACACTCAGCTTAGCATGTAAGCTTATACAAGTTTTGTTAGATTTATACCTAGATATTTAATGCATTATGTAGTATAGTTAGTGTATAGTAGTATATTTTCCTTTCTTGTGTTTCTTGCTAGCATATAGATATATATAATTGTATGTTTGTGTTTGTCTTGTATCTTGAGACCTTGAACTTATTATTTCTAAGAAGTTTTTGTTTTGTTTTTTGGATTCTTTGAAATTTTCTATGATAATCATGCCAACTGCAAAACTTTGTTCCTTTCCAATTTGTATGACTTTTAATTTTCTTATTGGACTGATGAAAACTCCCTAGCACTATTTTGAATAAGAACTCCATTCTTTCTTTCCTACTATTTTTTTAAGGTTTTAAAAAAGTTACTTATGTAAGTGTGTCTGTGTGTGGGTATGTGCACATGAATGCAAGTGCCCTCTGAGGCCGGAGGAGGGCGTTAGAATCCCTGGAGCTTGATTTCCAGGTGGTTGTGAGGCACTTGATGTGGGTGCTGGGAACCAAACGCAGGTCCCCTGGAAAAGCAGCAAGTGTGCTTACCTGGCACTTGTGTTTGCCTGTGTTTCTTTTGTTTGCACCTCAATCCAATGGATTTATCTATTTTCCCTTTCCGCCCTTTCAGTTCTGTTACATATTTTGCTCTATTGTTTTTTTCTAGGCTACTATAAGATTCGTCTTTTTGGTGGTGTTGCCCCAGACTATGTGGCTCTGTGGGTGGCTAAGTCTCTGCTTTCTATTCATATCTGCTTCTTTCTTCCTGCCTTTCATCCCTGTGTCTTCTCTGGTTTTATCCAGCACCTTCTTGCTTCCGTTTCCTTTCTAGTTACAGCTTCCTTGGGTTTGTTCACATGTCTCTTCTCTGGTCTCCATCTCTTTTTCTCTGGCTCCAAATCATCCCCCTTCCCCTCAGGCTGAGAATGCCAAACAGAACACAGAGCTGCCCCGGGAAGGCCCAGGTGCCTGCGGTGGAGGAAGGAATAGATGAGCCTGCCACAAACTTACACCCCTGCCCCACCCCAGGCGGCTTTCTTTTCTTTATGGATTTTGACTGGGACTGGGGAGGCTAAGAGTGAATAGCATGACCATTTTGATAAGGCTGTGACTCACTGCCAGTTCTACTGAGATCATCCAGGCCAGTCATTCTGCAAAGTCATTGAGTTTAGTATATTGCATTCAGTTTATCAGACTATACTGTGTTTACTTTTTCTAATACATCTTCTCTTTTCATTGCAAGCCACTCTGTCCTATTTACTAATGTGAAAATCTTTACTTAAATTGCCCCCTATCAGTCATTCAAAGTCTGTAACAATGAGACCCGAAGGTATTGAGGTATAGGAAATTTCCTCACTTCTCTGGCATGAGCCTCTGGCATGAGCTCTTAAACTTCAGCATGGGTAAGCCCGACCCAGAACTCTGTTAAAATGGGGTTTCCTGGGCCTCAGCACCAGAGAACAGAGATGAGAGCTAAGGTGGGGCCCAGGAATCCACATTCTTATAAACCACAGGGCCGCACCCCATGCTTCTGACGTCTTAGCTCTCAAATCACACTGTGGAAAGCATTGCTCTTAACGGTTGTCAGTTCATGTGAAAGTTACACAACACAGTGTTCCAACTGGAGTCTTATACTGGCTCTTCTGACCCCTCTCCTGTCAGTGTAGGAAACAAGTAATAATAATAATGATAACAATAATAAAAGGGTCCAGTGAAACAGTTCAGCCGGTAAAGGTGTTTGCTGCCAAATCTAATGACCTGAGTTCTATCCCTAGAACACACGTAAAGGTGGAAGGCGAAAACTGACTCCACAAAGCTGTGGTCAGACCTCCATAGGTACACCGTGGCATGCCCACTGTGGCATGAATGCAACTCCCCCATCATATACATAAATAAAAATAACAGGAAAGAAAAATAATTAACGTTGAGAATTAACCATGATTCTTTGATTCTGATCTCGCTTCAGTGTACACCATCACATTTATTTGTGTTTAGCCAAGGTCAAAGGTGTGCCTTTCCTGGGTATGTGGCTTGCAGGCTTCTCCCATCTTGATACCTATTCATGACTTTTGAGTATACACGAGCAGGAGGTACCAATCTCTGTTCTGTGCCATGGATGGATAGATAGAGCCCCACTGCCTGAGATAATGCCCTTTTTCTCCTCCTCTTCCTCCTCTTCCTCCTCCTCAGCATCCGGATTCATAGTCCCCGCAGCACCCTGTATCACAGACCCAAAGCATGACCATCAACTCTAACATGCACCCTTTATAGCCTTAAACCAAGGGTGTCCAGGGCTGGAAGACACCTAAGAATGAAACAGACTTGTTTGGGGAAGATTGTTATGGTGAAGGCCTGGAGCCTTGGGACTCACTTCTGATATGATCAGGCCCCTTGAGGACCGGGAGCCTTGGGGAGGCTGGGGGTAGGCAGGCAGGACACAGCCTGCCTCTCACATGTGGCTTGGTCTTGCCACCACTCTGTCCTGCCACCCTAAATCTCCAGCTCACCTGCTGTCTTCTCTCCTACCAGTCTTGGCCAACCTTGGTTGCACGTGGCCTCCAGGTTCATCTTTCACCCCATTTTCATTTCTGGAATTCTAATAACCCATCACTGGGAGCCCACTCTGGCACCTAGTCTGTCATTATCAGAGTTGGATGTCGGTTTCTTCTGTGTTGAGGCGCTTTCCTCATTAAGGAGAGCTTAGTCTTGAGCTTCTTCTGTATCCTATGCAGCTCTTTGGAGGCACTCAGAAGACTTGTGGGTATGATTGGCCTGAGCACTTCACAAGTTCAAGGAGCTTATGAATTGTCCTAGTTTGTTTCTCAA